GGGTAAAGGGCAGGGTATGCCAGCCATACCCTGTAATAGGTGGAAACTGAGGGATGCTGGGAGAACCTGGCAGCCAGGTCGGCTTTGGTATGTTAAGTAGGCACCTCAGCCCCTTGTTCGGGGTTTAAAACTTGACAGTGTCCTATTTAATACTCTCTTCTGACTCCAGCAGATGTTAAAGTCCTTGAGGCAGGCTTATAGTACCTGCTTGGAAAGTTCTCGATCACTGGAACAAGCCCACAGTGAAGACTTGATAGCATGGACTGACAGTCACAGGAAATGGCAGCTGTAGCCAAGCATTTGATAGGGATGGTTACTTTGTTATAGAGGTCCAACACTTTGCCCAAGACCTCAGCTCAACAGGGGTACACGGTAGGCATTTAATGTGGCACGCTGGAAAGTTGTGGTTCAGCCTCTCGAGGAGCCTGCTAGCATGGGCACTAGCGCTGTCACACCATCTCTGAACTTCTGCTAGTGGGATTCTACATTATGATGTTATTGTTGAGGTGAGGGCTTACTATGTAACCCAGGCTGGTCTTGAACTCGTGACCTTCCTGCCTCAACCTTCCAGTGCTGGGAAGACAGATATGAGTCAGCATGCCCAGCTAGTATATTCTTTTTTTTTTTTTTTTTTTTTTTTTTTGGTTTGGAGGTTGTCCTGGCACTCGCTCTGTAGACCAGGCTGGTCTCAAACTCACAGAGATCAGCCTGCCTCTGCCTCCCAAATGCTGGAATTAAAGGTGTGTGCCATTACCGCCTGGCTATTCTTTATGTCTTGGTGCATTCAACTGGCATAGTCGTCTGCGCTTTCCAGATTGGCTCAGAGTGAGGAGCAGGGCTTCAAGACACTTGGCGGGTTCTGGTTATTCTTGCATAGCTTTTGATTGCTGTACTCCGCCTTGCTATATTCAGAGTCAACTTGCAAGTCTTGCTGTTGGCTGTGGTGATATCTTGTTTGTACAAATAAAGCTTGCCTGAAGATCAGAGGGTTGAGCTAGCCACTAGCTAACCATAGAGATCTGGAGGTCTGTACAGACAGACAGGAAGTGAGATGGCTGGGCAGAGAGAGGAATTATAAAGGTGGGAGGAGACAAGAACTCAGTTTTTTTTTCCCCGCTGGAAAGTTGAGTAGGTAAGGTGGCTGTGGTTTTGCTCCTTCGTCTCTCTGGTATCTCAGCATTTCCCCCTATTATCTGACTCCTGGCTTTCATTATTAAGACCTATTAGAACTCGTGTTACAGTTGGCCACATCGTTTGTTCCAGGATGAGCATCCCTCTAGGCTTTGCCTCAGGATGTCATGGCAGGCTAGGGTGGGCTGTCTTCTTAACTTGAGTTCATGCTGAGTTAAATGTTCCAAGACAGCAGTGGCCACTGAGCCTATCTGAGCCCCAACTGTGACTTCTGCATGGTCGTTGCTTAGCCTGAACTGGGAGCTTGTACCTTTGTGTACACTATCACTGCCTGCCTCCCTGGAGCCAGGCAGCTTCTCCGATGTGACTCTCAAGCTCCTTATAGATCAGCCAATTAATGAACACTCCGTGTGGTCCAAGCCATACAGGAAGTGCTATGTTGGAGTTAAGAGTTTCTCCCTTCTCCAAAACATACACAATGTAGCACCTTCGCATGTCACCTCATTGGCAACAGCAGTCTGGTGTTAACACCTGAGATGATAAACTGGGGTCTCAGAAGTCAGGGGCTCTTCCTCACCAACACCATGGCCTCTCTGACTGTACAGTGTGCTCATAACACAGTATGTCAGTGGTTCAAATTCCCTGAACATTATTTCCTCTTTATGTTGGTTGATTCGGCAGTGCACATGGACCTGGGTTCTTCTCTGACTTGGGTGATGTTTGCTGTGCCTCAGAGGTCAGCCTTACTCATCTCCCATGTAAACAACTCCTGGCCATGATGGGGAAATGGTCTTCTGGATATGTTTATCTTACTGGTTGATGAATAAAACACTGTGGCCAATGGGGCAGCAAGATAGGCAGGTCTAGGAGATGAGGAGGATTCTGGGAGGTGTAGGCAGAAAGCAGTCACCATGTAGGATGCCAGAGGAGTAACAGGTCCCTGGGCTTTTCTACAGTAAGATAAGAGCATGTGGAAATACGTAGATTAATAGAGATAGGTTAGTAATTAAGACAGAGCTAGCCAATAAGAAGCCCTAGTCATTGGCCTACAGCATTATAATTAATATAAGTGTTCCTTTGGGGCTGACACAGCTGTGGGACCAGGCTGATGGGAAAGGGTGTTTGTAACATGGCCCAGCTCTTCCTGAGATGTTGTGTTGTTTAGTTTTTGTCAACTTGATATGAGCTGGAGTCATCTGAGAAGAGGGAACCTCCGTCAACAAATGCCCTCCTAGTCTGGCCTGAAAGCAAGCCATTTTTTTTGATTGATGATTGATTCGGAAGGGCCCGGCACAGTGAGGGCATGGTGCCATCCTTGGGCAGATGGTCCTGGGTAGTATAAGAAACAGATATGTATAAGAACAAGCCTTGGAAAACAAGCCAGAAAGCAATGTTTCCCTATGGCCTCTATTTCAGTTTCTGCCTCCAGGTTCCTCCTTGAGTTCTGCTGTGACACGAAATAAACTCTCCCTCCTCGGGTTTCTTTTGGCCATGGCACTTTGTCAGAGCAATAGGAAGCAAACTGGAACAGAAATACTTAAAAAAAATTATATGTTCCTGTTTACAGTCTTATAGCTTGTATTAAAAGGAGAGAGAGAGAGAGAGAGAGAGAGAGAGAGAGAGAGAGAGAGATGATCTTCAGTGTGAGTTTTATGCTAGCACAGCAAATGCCCATTCCAGCTTCTCAAACAGCACTTACTTCTAAAGAAACTTCAAGCTTCCTGCTCACACTGGCTCTATGTTCTTTATCAAGGCCCACTGATTTTTAACTTTTGCTGGTTTTGTGCTGTTATTCCTCTCTTCCTCCCTCTCTATGAAAATATTGTTTGTTTTCTGAAGCAGTTACAGAGGGCTACATAATTCATGCTCCTTCACACATCAATAATTCAGTTGTGTATTTCCTAACACGGAGAGAATTATTCATGGTTTTGGTTTCATCTCTTTTAGTCCTGAACACTGTCTTTCTATCATATAATACATAAATTTCAATATGGTTCAGAGTTTACATTAAAATGCATGTAGTATAAACTGTTTTTGATGTATTTGTGTGCAACTTATTAATGTTATATAAATATGTACAATATAATGCATAACACAAATACTTATTAGAGGCATAGTATATTAAAATATATACCTTGAAGATAAAAAATAATATAGGTTGTGTTTAAATAAATAGAATGCATTTAAAATGTACAAAATTTAATATCATTATCAGTATATATACACATATATATACACTAGACCTATAAGTTTATGATTTTATATTATTACAAGTTATAAGTAGTAACATAATTAGGAATCAAGATTAATAAAAATACAATATACAATGCAATAAAAAATACAAAACACAATAAAAATAAATGTAATAATATCTTAATGTAGATTAATAGGCTATAATTTAAAATATGTGTTTATGTTTAATAACATATTTACATCCTCTTTCTTATGGATTGTGTCTCTCCTTGAAATTGTCTGATTTTTCTCATGCACGTGATTAGGTGTATACATCCTTGGCTAGAACAGGCCTGCATGGTGTCTCTGTCTTATCTTTGAAGATAGTTTTCATTTTGATTTCTTGGTGAACATGGTGTGCTGTCTTAAGATGTCCTCTCCATAGTGTCTTCACTCTTTCATTTTTCTAAAAATTAAGTTGGTGAGCAACCGTTTGAAGTTGTGTAGATACCTTGCATCTCAAATAAATTACATATTCTAGAGTTACCGTCTGTTCATTTTATTGGTGCTGAGGATTGAACCCAGGGCCTTGGGCTTGCTGGACAAGTGCTTTACTATTGAGTTACCCTCCTAGCTTGACTGATATTTCTGGCTTCTTGTTCTATCCAAACTTTACTCTTCTAGAAGCCAATGTTATTTTCCAGCTTTGCCCTTTTATCCACAAACATCGATGGCTTTTTTAGCCAGCAGAGTCTCCCCGTGTTTATTCATTCATTCATTCGCCGTTTGCATTTAGGCACTTTTAACCTTCATCACCCGTGTGTCATGCATGTGGATTGTAGATTTTTGTGTCTTCAATGGTTTATAATATATCATGTTCCTTATATTTAAATCAAGTTTTTTCAAGTTTGCTCAGCAGGAGCCCCTTTTCTTTGGATCCTTTCCCCTTTGACTAACATTCTGAGTGCTTCTGTACTCGGACATGAGATGATGATACTTGCTACTCTTGAGTTTCCCCAAGCCTCGGCCCTAGAATCAGACTTTTCCAGGGAGCCAGTGTGTTTTTCTGAGGTGGGGCAGTGAATTATGGATCATTGACAGACCCATGAAGCCACACAGACACACATCTGTGTGCACACATGCGCACACACAAACATATTCTTTTTAGCAGCCAGCAGTCCCCCTCATTTTTAAAAATCCTGATTTCTCTCCTTTGTTTTCCCTCCACTCTGTAAATTCTCTGTGGCCCATCACTGCCCCACTCTCCAACGATGAGTACAATGCCTGACACTCATGTTTGATGATAGGTTTCTTTGAGACTCACACCCAGGGCATTGTACAGTCTAGCCAAGCACGCTACCTCTTAGCTATGCCCACAACCCTTAAAGTGTATTTTAATAACTCAATAACTGAACAAAATTTTATGCTGAGAATTTATCCTCTGTGGAAGAGAACCTAGAAATAAGGTTAAGAAAAATTCTGTCACTTTGTTTCTCCTTCTCTCTTTCTCTAAATGTACTGTGGAACATATGTAATAATCAGAGGTGACTGGAGGTTTGGTTCATAGATTGCCATCTGTAAATACTATGCTTTCTGCTGTGCTGTTCATATGTCTAGAATCAGATGCATTTCTGCAAGATACCGTGACAATAATTTTCCGAGTTTTACATTTTTTTCCGTTGTGTTATACTTTCTAGGTGGCTGGCATCGTGGGCAGAGCTGATGTGTTAGCATGTCTGCTGTTCCTGCTGGCCTTCCTTTCCTACCATAGGTGAGTGGGATTGAGCAAACTCTTCTGTGGTTTTGGTCACATACTGCCATATATACACTAAACCCCTGTTTGACCAGAGAGAGGCTGTGGCTGTAACATGCTCAGTGGGTACCAGGGAGAGAAACGCTCTTTTTACCCAGTGCTCACCTGTTATTTTCCAACCCCATTCTGAAGTATTCACTGTGTGTGTGTGTGTGTGTGTGTGTGTGTGTGTGTGTGTGTGTTTGTGTGTCTGTGTGCATGTAGTGTTTATACATGCATGTACATGTTCACATGGAGACAAGAGGTCAATGCTGGTTGTTTTTCTCAATTCTCCTCCACCTTACCTTTTGGAGCAGGGTCTCTCACAGAGCCTGATGGGAATCTGTGTATCTCTGTGTATAACCACTCCCCTACCCAATGCTATGATTGCAGACATGGTGGCTAACACTTTTTTTCCTGTTTAATGTATGCCAGGGATCAAACTCATGCCTCATGCTTATGCAGCAGGCACTTCGCCCACTGAGGCGTCTTCCATCCCTCAGCTTTAAAAGACTGCCATCCCCACGCTGGGAATCCAAACTCTTGTTTCTTTTGCTTGTTGATCCCTGGCTGAGGATAGAACTTTAGCTGTGAACAAAAAATAGATGTGCTCTGTTCTGTTTGCCTTTGATTTGTTTAATTTATCTTCATTTCATTCATGTTTTACCCTGTTCTATTATTCTTACAATAGCCACTCACAGTTACATAACGAGGTTGACTGGGAAGTATTGTTTCTTAACTAGAGTTTTGCACTTCAGAATCTTTTTTTTTTTTGTCAAAATACAAGAAACCTCTTTCTATTCCATTGTGCCTTTATCCCCAAAGTGAAGGCATTTTTAACTGACTTGTAACATATCTACATGTAGAGCAGAACAAGTTAGGAAAATGAGAGTTTGAACAGAGTGCTCAGGGTGTCTCCCTAAAGATGCCAGGTCAGCTATACCAACTGACTTCGTAGAGAGACGCTAGCTGGGAATTGGTAAACTTGGCCTTTGAGTTAGATTTCTGCTGCAGCTATTGGTAGAGAAAAAGGAAGTTACGAATGAACAACCCATGCGGAGTTTATTGACAAGGGGGTGGGGGATGGAGTTGGATTGTCAGCCAACCCAAGGAGAGGCAGAGTGAGAGAGAAGGGGGGAGGCTGGACCCTTTAAAGGGAAGACCATGCATGCGCAGTGAGGCTTCACGCATGCACAGAATCCTCATGCAGGCCATAATGCATGGTGGGTGATGTGATGACATAGCATGTTTTCCTGTGCGTGCCGCCCATCGTTAGGGGGGCAGGGTCAGCCAGGTGCACATCCCAACACTTTGGATCAATTTGATGAACTGTAACTTACAAAGCCCAGTGATTCACTTTTAAGAATATTGTTCTAAACCTACAATATTGAATTAGCAAAAATTTCCCTTCTTCCTCTAGGGTAGTAGTTCCTTTGGCATACCTATGACCCAAATATCTGAGAGAACAGCCTAAAGGAAGGATTATTTATTTGGGCTCAATGTTTTAGTCAAAACTTGGTTCTTCCGTCTTCCAGTACTCTCTCTATTCAGACTTGGAGCCCATTAATGTATTAAATCACTCATTAGGCCAGAGCCCTTGTGACATCAGTCACCTCAGGGGTCACACTGAGCCCCTGTGACATCAGTCACCTCAGGTGTCACACTGGGCCCCTGTGACATCAGTCACCTCAGGTGTCACACTGGGCCTCTGTGACATCAGTCATCTCAGGTGTCACAGTAGCGCTTGTGACATCAGTCACCTCAGGTATCTCTCTAGCCCTTGTGACATCAGTCACCTCAGGTGTCACACTGGGCCCCTGTGACATCAGTCACCTCAGGTGTCACACTGGGCCCCTGTGACATCAGTCACCTCAGGTGTCACACTGGGCCCCTGTGACATCAGTCACCTCAGGTGTCACACTGGGCCCCTGTGACATCAGTCACCTCAGGTGTCACACTGGGCCCCTGTGACATCAGTCACCTCAGGTGTCACACTGGGCCCCTGTGACATCAGTCACCTCAGGTGTCACACTGGGCCCCTGTGACATCAGTCACCTCAGGTGTCACACTGGGCCCCTGTGACATCAGTCACCTCAGGTGTCACACTGGGCCCCTGTGACATCAGTCACCTCAGGTGTCACACTGGACAAGTGACACTGGCATGTAGTAGATAGAGAGTAAAAATGCCCCTGGACAGATGTCCTGCAGTATATAGGACAGACCTCACAACAAGGAATTTCCTGGCAGGGAAATACCAATATGACCGAGGATGCAGGTACCGTCCAGTGGAGGCCTTAGGTCTGGAGTGAGATGCATGAAGGCTCAGGAGGAAGAGGGTGGAGCCAGACTAGTGTTCATCTCCAGGCCCACTGCCTACTGCCTACTGCATTTCTAATTGTGCAAACACTGTTAGGAAATCTGAAAACTTAAGGTTGGATTTAATACTTTCTATTGGGCCAGAATCAATCTATTGATTTAATTTAAAATTTTCCATTTGGTTGATGTATCTGAGAAGGTGATGAGCTTTGCATTTGCCCCTGTCTGTGTGGGTGTGAGCTGGATCATCACAGGTGATTGATTGTATATGCCCTGCTCACCTTTGGAAATTTAAGTTCTAGATCAACCCCATGGAGAATGCACATTTGCCATCTATTTTGCATGTAATTTTGTATAATTGTTCCAAGGTGCAATACATAGAAGAAACTGTCACAATATAGACAGAGTGTTGGCCCTCACTTCAAAGGAGAGGGAGCTAGTGTCTGTGTGCCTATATGAGGAAATAGTGGTACTTCCTAGGGCTAGTTTTATTTATAATTTGGAAAATAACACTGAGGACATCATAAAAATTCCTGTAGGAAATTGTGATAAAAAATAAAGATGACAGGGCTTGGGAGATGGCAGAGGACCCAAATGGTTTCCAGCACCCATACTGGGTGGTTCCCAACTGCCTGTAAGTTCTGCTTCAGGGATCTAATGGCCTCTTGTGGCCTCCATTGCAACTGCATTCACAAGTGTGCATAACCACACACACACACACACACACACACACACACACACACACACACACACACAATTTTAAAAATTACCCAATACATGTACGTTGAAAATAAATTCAAATGATCAGAGTAGTCAAAAGAAAGGAAAAATGCTTAAAGCCTGCCTTTCCATCATAGAGAGAAGTGCTATTTACTTGTCTCCCCCCGTTGAGTGCATATACGTGTGTAGAAACACTTTGATCAATCATGGTGATGGACACTTGACATCTGTCACTTATCCAGTCCTTGCTAACATGCTAATTCTCCCGTTTCTGCGGTATGGTATCCCATTTGCTAACTGTACATCTGTGGTTTGTACCAGGGAATCTGGCTTCTCAATCCATGCATATTTGCTAGTAATGTGTGTCATTTGCTTGAAATATTCACATAAACATCTTTCTATCTACTAAGTCTATCCTTATGTTAGTGTTTTAAATGACTTTTTTAGTGTTCATTCATTACAAACCATACTGCATCATAATTTGCATACCGTAATTTAGTTCTAAGTTGATATTTTTTGGACTTTCTTCCATTTAAACAACATTTTAAGAGATTTAAAAAACTGTGTGTGTGTGTTTGTGTGTATGTGTGTGTGTGTGTGTTCTCAAGGAGGCCCAAAGAAGGGGTAGGATCTCCTGAAGCTGCAGTGACAGGGGGTTCTGAGCTGCCTGATGTGATCTAGACTCCCTTCCTTTGGCAGAGCTGCAAGAGCTCTTAGTCATCTCTTCAGCCCCCACCATTTTAACAGTTTAAAATAGTTGCATGGCAAATGCTCTGGGAGAAATCTTTGCTTACTGCCTTGTTCTACACGAGATACATCTCTAAAAGATACTGACTGTTTCATAGCAACCCATGTGTTGATAAGGAAATGCCCAACTTGCTTTGCAGGAGTCTGGATCAGGGCTGTGCCGGGCAGTGCTTTCCCCCGACAGCTTCTCCCTTCTTCCTGCTGCTCAGTCTGTTTCTGGGGACCTGTGCCATGCTGGTGAAGGAGACGGGTGTCACGGTGTTTGGAGTGTGCTTGGTTTATGACCTCTTCTCCCCCTCCCACAAGCAGGACAAGTTGTAAGTCATTTCCAACCTGTGTTGTTGTATTGGTTACTTTTCCTGTTATGATGAACCTTATAAAGTAACTTGGAGGAGGAAGGTTTTTTTCTTTTTTCTGATTCATGGTTTCTAAAACTGTCACATCTGGAATTGAAAGGAGCTGTTTTGACTACCAGTCTTCACTCCTGGTTTGTTTGGGTTGTGTCCTGCTGAGGGAATCCTGATTCACAAAGAAAATCGTGTCATGAATGGTAAACATTAGCTGCTTGTGTTGAGCCCCCAATTTCTGATGGCTGTTACCCACGAGTGAGCTCCATGAACTTGAAACCTGTCTGCTTGCTCTAGCTGTGCAATCTAACAGCATTAGGAGGTTGGTTGGAGACATTCTTGGGTATTCATGTGCTCACAGTTGTGTGATTTTTCCAGTTGAAGAGGAAACTTATGAAGCACCCTATTTTCCTCTTAAACTGTAAAGGTCCATTTGTTTCTTGTGTGGATTTCGATGCTAAGAGTGACTGGGGATATTAGAAGTTCAAGCATGTACAATTTTCTTTCCTCATCAAGCCCACAGTCCCTGGCAGTTTTACATGTGTCATTAAGAAAACAAATGACAAATGTTGATAAGCTTGTGGAGACAAGAGAATACTTACACACTGCTGGTGGGATTGCAAACTAATGCAGTCACTGTGGAAATAAGTATGGAGGTCACGACAAACAACAACAACAAAAAGTCTATCTATCATATGACCCAGCTGTAGCATGTCTGGATATTTACCAGAAAGACTCCAAATCAGCATACCACAGAGACATGCACATGAATCTTTATTGCAACCAGCTGGGTTCAAAATTGACCTAGGTGTTTATCAACAGAGAACTCTATAAAGTTAGTGTAGTATTTATATACAATGGAATTCAGCCATAGAGAAGAAAGAAATGGTATCATTTGTAGGAAAATGGGTGTATCTGGAGGTCATCACACATGGTGAATTAAGTCAGAAAGACAATTATCTTGTATTTTCCTCTCATTTGTGGGTTATATCATTGTGTGTGTGTGTGTGTGTATGTGTAGAATTCACTTGGGACTGTCTTGGGAATGAAGGGAAATGAATTTAGAAGAAAGGAAGGTCAGAGAGAATGGTGGGGGGTATGGTTAAAGAGGCTCATATACTTACATGCAAATATCCTCATGAAACCTAGCTGCTCGCACAGAGAATATGTGCCAGGAAAGACAAAACTGAATAAGAAAAATCGACAATGCAATTATGCATTTGAAAGTAGATAGTTGCAAATAGCAGAAACAGGAGACTTGGAGACTTGAAGTCACATCCTTCTAGCAGTCTCAGCTAGGGAAGCAAGGGGTAGCTGCTTTTCTGTCACAAGCCTTGTCATTTTGTCTGACTTGCTTTTTCCTTAATTCTGTGAACTATTAGGAGCAATGGGGTGATCTGTCAGCACAGCTTACAGCAGCCAGGGAACCCCCAGTCCTCCTCTCAGCATGGCCACCCCCACCGTGAGAGCAGAAAACAGCGCTTCCCACACAAAGACACTTGGGGAGGCTGCCATCAACCGCTGCCACCGGAGCCCAAGAGCAGCGGATTCCCTGTGTCCCCAGGAGCAGTGTGGTCCCTGATGAGGTAGGTACTGGGCTGGGTTCTCCACCGTATTCCTTTCTTTTGTTGTGATTGCCCAGGGTTGCAGCCCATGGTGTCTGCAGAGCTGAAGTACTGAGTCAACTCTCTGGGATGGCCTTCCTTCCCCAAGGGTCTTGACTGTATAGGTTGGGGACTTTCATGGTGGGCTGGGAAATTAGTCCGGAGGACTGTGAATACCTTGAGGGTGGACACTTTCTCTGTGTTGCAGGCAGTTGACTCCAAGTTGTTCATGCAGTCTTTGGCTAATAGTTATTTAAATGTTTGTGAGAGTAAAGAAATTAAGTAGACCATAAGAATGGATTGGAATCAACCATAAGAAAAAAAGGTTTCAGTAGAACTAGCAATGGTGTAATGCGGGGGAAGATGTTAGATAGAAGAATGTAAGACTTTTGTTTGCATTTTTATTTTAAGTTTCACATGTGGGGTTTAGGCCCATATGGGTGCAGATGAACTATGCAGAGGAGAGACGAGAGATACCAGAGCAGAAAGTGTAAAGGTGAAAATCCACAAGGGTGGCATGCTCACGTCCTCTGTCTACTAACTTGACTCTCTGAAAGGGGAGCCAGGTTTATGCCCACTCATTTCCATGTAAATGTCCCTACCTCAGCTGATGCCAAGCTGTGGTGTGACATCACTGGCCTGTCAGTCTTCAGTTTCTACCAGACAGAAGACATCAGCAAAATCTCAAGAACCAAGTTTGCTATGTAGTCTAAGTAGGAAATGCCCAGAGTGGATGCGTAACACTCTTTTGATGTACTTTGTTTAAGCTTATCTAACTTGATCTTTGGTGATAGCTGGCTTTAATAAGTAGCTTGCAAGATTCCTAAACAATTAGTCAGTGCCTATTCCTGAACATCAATGAAGCAGGTCCACTGTGAAAGCTGAAACAAACTTCTTATCTGCTGTCCACCCACCTACTGTTTACTGGGTAGGGGAGACACTTGCACATCAAGTCATCACCGTGTCTGTGGCCACACTCAAAGTTAGCAAGTGTGGGAGGCTGGGCTGGAACTGGGCTGGGTCACTTAGTCCTATGCTTTCTCTACCACTTGTCAGGCTTGGAGTGCAGGATCCTGGTGAGCACTTACTGGAGGTTCCCACTTGGACCAGTTTGTGTCTTCTTGGCTCCTTCATTACTGCTCTGGGTTTGGAAAGATTCATGCAGTCATCTGTAGGTCCACACATGGGAAGTGGGTGAGAGTTTGGTAACATTGTATGTTACACTCTGTTTTTTCATCCAGGACACCATGTTCTAGAAGTAGGCCACATTCTCACCTGGTCAGCATGATTGTATGGAAAGATCATTTTCCCTCCTGGGGAAGGAAGGCTGCCGTATGTCATCTATTTGAGCGTAAATCTATTACTAAAATTGGTTAAGAAAACTCTGCTTATTTTTTTGTCAGATGTGTGATTGGGTAAAGCCACTGAGTTTGGAGAGGCAATGGCATCCTGCCTTTTAAGATCTCTGGCTCAGTGGACAGGACATTAAGCCACAACTCCTTCAGATGCTCTCTGTTACCCTAAAAGTAACATGCCAGATTGGCTGCCAGGACCAAGAGTACTGAACATCAACAACAAGGAAACTGGTGCCTTGCAGCCCGTGTTCTTCTGATATGCCACAGACCCCTGCATCCTTACTGTTAGCTCTTACCCTTGCTCGCTTTAACTGCTGACTTGATACAGTCTAGAGTCAACCCAAGATGGAAGATTCAGTTGAGGAATTGATGACTTTGGCCTGTAGGCGTGTGCACAGGGAATTGTCTTAACTATTAATTGGTGTAGGAGGACGTAGCCCTGTGGGAGTGGGACCATTCCCTACCCTCTGATTCTGAGCTGGGTAAGAAAGGTGGTGCAAGCCTCTGAGAGAGCCTGTGTTCAGCAGAGTTCCACCACGGTCTGCTCTAAGTTCTGGCCCTGACTTGATGTGTAAGCCAAACAATCCATTTCTCCCCCCGAGCTGCTTTTAGTCAGAATGTTTTATCACAGCAACAAAAGGAGCCTCGCACAGTTCTGCTGTGTCACGATTGATCGGGTCTCTGAACACCAGGGTGCAATGTGAGTGGTGAGCCTGTCCTATGGGGCAGGAAGAGAGATTGTGTGGGGGTTTTCTGTTTTGGTTTATCTTGTAGGATATATATCTCAAGCTTTCGTAAGTGGCTGACAAAGGCTCAATCGAGAATTGTCATATGAAGTGTTGTTTTCAGAAGTTTCATAATTCAGGGGAAAATCCAAACCCAGTAGGAAAACCTACTGCAAGGCATTGATTTAGTGGCTTGTCTTTGTGTGTGATGGTCTTAGGGGTAAAAAGTATAGCGGGAGATGGGAAAGCCAAGGGCGCACGCCCTGGAGTCAGATCACAGTTGGCTAGTAAAACCATTTATGGAACCACTGTATGTGAAATGCTTTGTATGACGGCAAACCCCCGGCATCTTAAAGACATGAAATACACACATGCTCACACACACTCGAGTATGTGTGCACAGAGGCACACCTCCCCTTTCATGTTAGGAAGCTCGGAGAGTGCTAAAAGAAGTCACATTTTTGTTCTTCATGTATACACGCAGTCAATTCCATAGACAGGCCACAGTGGCCACAATTGGCACCAAACACAGTGGTTTCTTGTACTCAATCCTCTGCACATGTCCCTTTCTCTTGACACCCAGTGGAAGTCATTCTCTCTCATGACATGCCCTGCTCCTCTTGTGCATGTTTAGACATTGTTTTAGTGCTGAGAACATAGAGTTAATAATGACAGTGACCAATCGATGAGCATAATTAAAATTACTTCTATTAAAGTATATATTTATTTAATCCTAGCACTCAGGAGGCAGAGGCAGGCGGACTCTGTGAGTTCGAGGACAGCCTGGTCTTCAAGAGCTAGTTCCAGGACAGCCTCTAAAGCCACAATATATATATTTATTTCATTTAGTTTGAGTGTGTGTGCGCGCGCGCGTGCGTGCGTGCGTGCGTGCGTGCGTGCGTGCGTGTGTGTGTGTGTGTGTGTGTGTGTGTGTGTACAATTTAGTGTAGAGATTAGAGGACAACTTGTGGGAGTCTGTTCTCTCCTTCCACCGTGTGGGTCCTGTGGATTGAACTCAGGTTGTCAGGTGTGGTAACAAGTGCCTTAACCAGATACACCACCTCATAGGCCCTGAATTCATTTACTATCAAATGGCTTTAAACCTGTTTATATCTAGGATGGTATCACTTGGGCTCAGAATTATCTAATACCCTTTTCTGATCTTAGTCCCATAGGCCCCCAGTGTCTTCACGGCTTTTTTTTTTTTTTTTTTTTTTTGTCTTAGTGTAGCGTATTGCTTGGACTTTTCTGGGCCCTTACACTGGTGCTTGGGCCTCAGGCAAGCTGATAAATTCTAGTTTGCAGGGAGGAAGTAGATTATTATTGCAGGCATCTGTCCTCATGTGAAGACGGACATGATTTGTTGGGAAGGTTGTGAAGGAAATGCTGAAACATTTACGTCTTTATTAACAATTTTTGTCATTGTTTGAGAGGGTTTCTCCTTATAGGGCAAGGGCTGGCAGGAGACTTACATCATAGCCCAGGCTGTCCTTGGACTTGAGGTCCTCATGAAGTGGCAGGTTACTCTGAACTCCTCTTCCCCTCCAGAGCCACAACCTGCATGACAGACAAAAATCAGTTTCTCCTTTCTTTGAGAGACAATGCTTGTAAAATGTTCAACAGATCAAAGGGTTCCTTCTTCCTTGCTGGGGAATGATCTGTTGTAAAAATGTTTTGGGGCTGAGAGTTCTTTGTGACAAGTGCCTAAACTCAGTCACCAGTTTAAGTAAAGGACCCTTTTTGTCCTCCTATGTATGGTGGTCTGTAATTTCCTTTAGTTCACTAAGACACTCCTGCCTTGGCCTCCTGAATGCTGCTATTACAGCCATGCCCACCCACCAAGGAATTTGGCATAAAATAACTTTTAAAAAAGTAAATAAGAATCTTATTTAAAAAATACCCTGATGGTATCATGGTTACAAGGCTCATTTAACATGAACTGTGTGTTTGCAGACAGTGTGGATTTAAAGTTTTTATCGACTCTAAAGTAATTTCTCTCAAATATGGAATATACCAGAAAAAAATAAAACTTTCTTCTGTAGATGGAGAGGAAGAACACAAGGTGGATGTGGATTTTTTTTCCCTCTGAACTATTTCCTGTCTGTGAACTCAGAGTGGGTAGGAATGGCAAGCAGGCCCAATGTGGGATGCAACAGAAAGTGCCTGGACACATTCCCCCAGAGCTGGTTGACTTCCTGTTCCGTCTTGGGCTAAGCTCAATGCAGCACTGGGTGGCTTTAACAGAGTCTCGGCTGGCTTTGTAAGACTCAGCACCGAAAGCTTCTCCCCCCAACACCACACACTCAGGAGGCAGAGCTCCTTTAATTTATGGGAGCAGTTGGCGCTTTTGAGGGGCTGGCATTCCCGGCTTCATTCTGCAGTGCCATGATTGGCTTCTGCTTTTCTGAGTCGCAGTCATAGGCTGATCAGTTCCTTCCCTTCTCAGCATAGAGCCATCAAGCTAGGTGTCTGATTCCAAGTGGAGACACAGGGACATATGTTGAAGGAGAGCCACTCGGGTGCAGGCATTTCTGGTTGGCACTCAAACCCGTCACCATCACAGGAAGCTCCTGGAAGAGGTCTCAGATTGTCTGCTTTTCCAGGAGCCCAACAGACACCATCTGGAGTATCCAGCGTCTGGCTTCTGTGGTTCAGAGTGTGGCAGCTGTGACTTCAAGGCCACCAACCAGCTCTCTCTTCCAGTTCTGCTGAGCTTGGAGAGAGATCTCAGGGTGTGGCTGGCAATTTGCTGATAATTTGCTCTTCTAGTCAATTTCTTTCTTATGCAGCTGATTTTTCCTTCTTTCTCTTTTGCAGTGTAGCCCATGGCACGATGGTAATAAAAGGCAGTATTTGTTCATTGTAACAATATGAATACTCAGGGCGTGTGTCAGTGTTCTTC